TCATCGCCCTGATGACGGAGGCAGTATGACCTCTGAAACGTCGGTAAACATCGACCAGACTACACAGCGCAACAACCCAGAAGACAGAAATCTTCATACTCACCGCTGTGAAAACCTCAAATCTTACATTAAAATTTGTCTTGGAGAAAGGATCTGAAAATGTACATTAGATGTTAATATTAACTCAACGTATGGTTCAGGCAGAACTTTTGTAATCACAATGATGGTCCTTCCTTTTCCATTACTACAGATAATTTGTTGACTGTCTCATTAATTATGCAGCACTGCAGTAGGCCCACTGTGAAGTTATACGTGTTTTACACTTTAAACTTGTTTTCTTGGAGATTCATAATCTGTGGCCATGATAGCTGGAAAGACGTCAGGAAACTGGTGCTCCTGTCTGGTCATCACGCTGACCCAGAAAACCAGTTGCAGCACTTGACCTGGGTCAAGAGGCTTTGTCCTAGCATGAAGGAAAGGGAGGGGGTAATTTATATAATTTTCTGAACTTAGTTCGACGGTTTCCCAAATAAAAAATGAAAATATGCGAGAAATTTTAAGAACTAATCCCGAGCCAGATTCTAATCTGCGATCACAGTGCTGATACAGCGATTTAAAACAAGCGAAATTCTGACCTCTCGGATATAAACTGCCGAGTTAATCACTAGACAGCAACACTAAATAACCTCCGCAGTTGATGTATCGACGTTATATTAATCTGACACTACTCACCAAGTAAATTTATGGTAGGTCATGTGTTCATTGTACGACGTTCATAAGGTTAACTCATTATGGGGTAGGTCATGTGTCATCTTCTTAAGTACTGAAAGGATTTCTATTAATTTTGGATGAGAGGTTTGCACTACAATTTATCGTTCGACTGGGTCCAATATAACCTCTACGTGTTTCTCAGGGCGAAGTCGTTACATTTAAGTAAGACTTCAAATTCTCACGGCTTCAATAAAAGCAGCAAGTACCTCTGAGATCTCTGCACTCGGTAATTCAAGAAGCAATAATTTACGTCTTATTATATTTTCAAATCTGCACTATTTCCTCCCCTTGGGTTTGCAATAATGAATTTGTTTATTACATCAAGGTCGATGTAGTAAGCAAAATTGCATAAAATAAGTTGAAAAACTCATGTGCCGCATTAAAGTAAGCCGACATATTTATTCTGTTTTTACGACTGTCCTATCAGAAGTTCATAATTCGGTTTTATGTGCATTGCAGCTGCACATTTTCAGGATGTGGTTGTGTCCAGGGCATATATGTTTATGCTCAGTTGATAATAACATTTTAAAAGCTGTTACATAAATGTTGCAGCCCAGTGACACGCAAGAAAAGAAATAAAAGAGAAACGCTGGAGTATTACTCCAAGTCACAACTGTATGATTGCATAACGTCTGCCATTTTATGTACAGAATTACTTCGGGCAGAACGGAACAGAGGGAAATAACCTGAAGTCAAAAAAGTGTACTTTGTGGATAATAGAACGAGTAAAATATAACATTATTAATGACTAATTCGGGACAAGATATTGTCGAAAGTGTTAAGTTACTCATTAAACAGAACACGAGTGGGCTGTACTCGATATTCATACCTAGTTTCAGGTGTAAAATCAAACACAATGTGGTACCAGAACCAGAAAGTCCTTCCCGCCTCCATCGTCACGGTTTCAGGGCGATCGCCCTAATGATGGAGACAGCAAGGGCCTCTGAAACGTGAGTAAACTTCTACCAGATACACG